TGCGCTGCTTGGACAGGTGCGCCGGGCGGCGGCCGCGGCGGCGGGCGGGCGCGGGCCGGAACTGCGGCGGCGCGCGGATCGCGGAGTTGGCGGACCCGGGCCCCACCCGCGCGCCTTCCGCAGCATCGCGGCCACCGCGCGAGCCCAGGGACTGTCCAACGTGAAGGCCCCGCTGTACCTGGACGTGACCTGGGACTGGGAGCAGTGGGGCGGGATCCCGCCGCAGTCGCTGGACCTGCTGTTATGCATCAACATGAGCCACATCAGCCCCCTGAGCTGCACCGAGGTCCGTGCGCGGCGCAGCCCAGCCAGGCCACCCTCTCCCTGCACCGGGGGGCGGGGGTGGGTTCGCCCTTGTCACGGCCAGGCGGGTCCCCAGCTTCCAACCCGTACTTCCTGTTTTCTTTTTGGCGGCTGGCGGGTACGAGGATCCGAACCCTTGAGCTTGGTGTTACAACACCGCGCTCTAATCCATAGAGCTCTTCCGGAGGCCTGGGGAAGGCGCCTCACAGTCCTCCTGCTTTCCCCTCCCTAGGGGCTCTTCAGAGCAGCAGGACACCTGCTCAAACCCAAGGCTTTGCTCATCACCTACGGGGTGAGTGGTCCTGCCCGAGAAGGGCTTTCTCTGCTGCTCCATTGACGTTGCTCCCCGCTGAGTTCCCTCCCTTTCTCACCACCCCTCCTGTTGCAGTATGTTCAGTCGCCCCTCTGCTGACTTATTGTCACAAGCATTTAAACACGCCCAGGCACCCCTTTTGGAACCTCTCTGTCACCTGCTAGTCTCTCTGTACCCCCTGGTGGCCCTCCTCTTGGGGGCAGGGAGGGGGTATCCTTTTCAATTTCCAGATCTTAGCCTGCAAGTCTGCCCCATGGCCCACTGGAGAATGGCCATGTCTCCCTGTCCCCGCAGCCCTTTGCCATCAATGGGAAGATCTCTCCCCAGAGCAACGTGGACTTTGACCTGACCCTCAGATGCAGGTCAGAGCTGGGTGAGATGGGGCCTGACTCAGGGGGCAGGTGAGCTGGGCACCTAACCCCCAGGCCATGACTCCACCTCCCTCCCCTCTGCAGGAACCCGGAGTGGGGGCTGCGGGACACAGCCCTACTGGAGAAATTGGGCCAGGCCAGTGGCCTGCACTTAGAGAGGATGGTAGGTGGGGTGTGGGGCAGCTGGGGGTGCAGGCAGTCTCCTTGGGGACCTAGGGCTGCTCCTCCAGCAAAGCACTTCTCCAGGTGGACATGCCAGCCAACAACAAGTGCTTGATTTTCCGGAAAGAGTAACCTCCTCCTTCACCCCACATGCCTGCATCCCTGCCAAAGGCTCTGTCGGGCACAAACCCGATCACCAGCTCCTCCTCCCTGGGCCCAGCTACTGTCTTGGGGATGACCAGCACCACTCCACTCTGGGCTCTTGACTGGCAGCCACAGGGCCATCAAGAGCCTGGGCTCAGCTTGTCTCAAAATAAAGTGTTTCTTGCTGCCCCACTGCGGGTGTCCACCACACCTCCTTCTGGGACCATCTCGTGGGCATGGGTGGGCAGGAGGGGTCTGTTCTGTGGGGTCAGGGCTTGGAGGTGTCCTGGACCTTGCTGCTGGAGCTTGGGCAGCAGAGGACAGAGGTGGAACCCAGGGACAGTGGCAGGGGCAGGACAGAGCTGGTCCCTGCCTGTGTTGCAGGGACACAGGAGGTCCCCAGGAGTGAGTTGGTGGTCCCTGGTGACCTTGCAAGGAGCCAAAGCTGCAAGTGGTGGCAGGACCCCAGCTGGAGAACAGGCTGGGGAGGGGGTTCCCAACTAACACCAGCAGCCCATGAGGTCCGGGGGCGAGGGAAAGGCTTTTATTTAGCAGGGAAGGAGAGTGGGAACAGCACGGGCAGCAAGGCTAGTCCTGGAAGCGGTTGAGCAGCTCGCAGGCCTTCTTCTCGAGCAGCTCTGAGATCTTCTTAACACGCTTCTCATTGGCAGCACGGATGTAGCTGCCAGGGTCCAGCATGGCCACACCATCACGCACCTCGCCCATGATTACTAGCGGCTCATTGCCAGCCGTCACATTGGGGCAGGGGCAGGTCCAGTCCATGCCACTCAGCGTCACTTCCAGGTACTTGGTGCCCAGGAACTTGAGGCCCATCTTGTCGTCCTTGAGCACATTGTCCAGGGCCACGCGGGCGATGCCAGCACCAGCTTCAGGCTCCTCCAGCACCTCAGTGAGCCGTCCCACGATGGCGAAGTCGCTGCGGCACAGGCTCAGTGCCAGCTTGCTCCTGTGGCGACAGGCCCGGCAGGGCGGCATCCTCGGCACCGGGCAGGCATCCTCGCAGCTCTCACGGCTCTCGAAGTTGTTGCCGTTGCCCTCGCAGCCACTGTACAGGAAGGGGTGGCACTGCTGCAGCAGCGGGCTGTAGGCCCAGCGTGGCTCCCAGCCCTGGCAGGGGCCCTGCACAGCCGGCAGCACACAGGTGTCCCTGGGGCTACGGGCACACGCCTGCTGGCACGCCTCGTATGTCTCGAAGCCCCAGGCAGCCCCTTCACAGCTGAGAACCGGGAAGGTCATGCAGCCGCCCCGCTGTGGGTCAAAGTGCCAGAGGATGTGGTGGGGAGAGGAGGGGCTGGCACAGGCCTGCCTGTCTGGCAGGCACTCAGCAGGGTGGCTGGGGGCCCTGTCCCTGGATGGCTCCCGCTGGATCACAGAGAGCGGGAAGTCCACCCGCAGCAGGCCAGCAGCGTTGCGCGCAGTGCAGGTGTACAGGCCAGCGTCCTCAGGCCGCGCATTGTACAGCACCAGCTGCCCGATGCTGGTGACCACCACGTTGCCGTACATCTGGTCAGGGCGCATGATCAGGTTCTCCCGCTGGTGGCTCTGCTTCTCCCAGGTCACAGTGGGTGGCGGGTGGCCGCTGACGTCGCAGTGGAGGCTGGCGGTGCCCCCAACCTGTACAGCCTGCGGGGAGGGGCTGTTGTACAGCGCGGGCGGCATGGGGGCGGCCCCAGGTGTGGGGCGGGCTGTGGTCTCAGGCGGCCCGGGGCTGCTGGGAGGCCAGCTGAGGATGTGCTTGCAGGGCACTACATGCAGGTGGAGGCCGTGCAGGCAGGCTTCAGCGTCCATGTAGCAGCGGTTGTAGTAGGTGAGGCCATCAGAGGCGCAGGTGAAACTGGGTTCCTTCTCGCAGCGGTCGCGGCAGCGGCACACGGGCTGCCCGTCCCAGATGTCGCAGTTGGAACCTTGCTGTGGGCATGCGAAGCCCTCACAGGAGGCTGTTGGCATGGGTGAAGCGGGCCCGCCATCTGGGAAGCGGGCCGCCACGCAGCTCCGCAGCCCACACACATTGGTGCAGCACTTCTCAGCAGTTGTGCAGTCCTGGGGATGTGGGAAGGGGGACAACTCAGCAGGGCCCCAGCACCCATCCAGCCTTCCCCCGGGGGCTCCACCCTTCCCCTGCTGGGATGCCCAGATGGGGCAGGAGTGAATCCCTGCTCCGTGGCTACAGCTAATGATGGCCTCTCCCACAGCCTCAGTTTCCCCTCTTGGAAAGCTGAGGATTGCTTTCTCTCCAGTACCATGAGCTGCAATGCCACATGCTAATCCTATTTAGCCTCTGACATCCCAAGCAAGTTTCATTCTTATTCCCGTAATACAGAGGAGGAAACAGAGGCCCAGGGAGGACACGTGATGTGCTCATGGAGCTCTTGCAGGTGACACAGTGCCTGGCTGCAAGGGCCACCCATTTGACTGCAGCCCACCCCTGCTGTGCCATCAGGAGCCCCCTGAGGTCATCCTCCCCACTGGTCCGGACATGAGGAAAAGATTCAGCTGAGGGCAGGGCAGGTGGTGCCGTCTATGGGGCGGGTCTGTGGCCTGGGCCAGAGGCATGTGTTCACTCCGTCCCCAGAGAATAGCTGGCACTCAGAGTGGGGAGGGGCAGGTCCGGTGAGGACGAGAGACACAGCCCAAAACTCTAGCAGAAGAGTCTGGAACCCAGAGACCGTGCTCCTGGGGCTAGGACTGGGGGTGAGGTCCAGGTTTCCCCAGGGTGGCTGAGTTCAAGCCCCCTACCTCCACTCACCTGGTCCCTGATGCACTCACGCTCACAGGTGCTCTGGGCATCCACCCACAGGCTGGGGCTGAGCTGGTTGGGGCATATGCCCAGGTGGCCTCCAGGTCCTGGCGGCAGGCTGGCCCCCGTGATCAGCCCCAGCATGAGCAGCAGAGGCAGGAGCCGCTGTGGGGCAGGCATGGAGACTGCTCGGTTGGGGGCCGGGGGTCAGTGGCCACCAGCCCCTCCTCAGGCCCCACTGAGCTGGGCTCCCAGCAGGCATCCACGCTAGGGGGTGAGGCCTGGAATCGGCTGCTCCTGCCCTGGGGGCCCCAGCGTCCCCAGGCCCCTTCTCTCGGCTCACTCCGCTCACAATTCTCTGGGCTCCCTTTCGGCCCTGAGTCCACAGCAGATGCTTCTGTTGTCCTGTCGAGCTCTCAGCTTCTGTCCATGTGGTTCCAGCCCCTCCTCAGCCTGTCCCCCACTGCCCCAACTCATGTGGGTGGTTCCCAGGCCCAGGTCAGTGCAGAGCAGGGAGTGGGAGAGGGGAGGAGGGCTGGGGAGGGGCCAGAGGCCCAGGAGCACAGAACCACTGCCACAAGGGTCACCGAGAGGCGGGGAAGGGCAAGGGCCAGCTCTGGCCAGAGAGGGGGAGAGGAGGGGAGACACTGTAACCCGAGCCCCTCCCTCCATGCCCTGGGGTCTAGGGATGAAGGACTAAGATCAAAGTCTCTTTGAGACCCTCCCACTCTCCACTCATGAAGGAAGGGGCAGGGCTGGCAGACCTCAGCTTTCGGCCTAACCCCCTATGAACCCCCTTTGGTTCCCACCAGGTGGGAGTGGACAGGCACAGGCACTCCCCCCCCACCCCCAGCTGACCACTGGCCTGGGTCTCCCCGCAAGGCAGGTCCAGGCTGACACCTGGCCTCTGTGGGTCTGAGTAAGGTACAGGGCTCCCCATCCAGCCCAGCAGAGGTGTGTAAGGGTAGGGGGTCCGTTCCTTTCCCAGTGAAGATTCCACAACCTTCACGACCCTTGCAGGGTCACGACCTGCCATCAGGACCTGGGATTGAGTCTAAACCCTGCTGGGGGAAGGCCTTTGCAGCCACAGCTGGGCCTCTGCTGACCACGGGGTGGAGTCCTGACACTGCGGGATTTTGCATTCCCAGAGACCCCCTATACTGACAGCCGGTCCCTGGCTCCTAGCCCAGGGCTCTGTGCCCCTTGGGCCCTTCCTCAACAGGGTAAGGGAGGTGCAAGAAAAGCAAGGCTGTCCATGTGTACGTTGGCCACACCAGTCACACGGCTGCCCGGCACCAGACATGCAGCTTCACGGGGTACAGCAGCACCCCGAGGGAAAGCTAGGCCCCAGGATAGCTGAACACACCCTGAGGAGCAAGCGTCTTAGAAGGTGCTCAAGGGGCCGTGGGCACGTGGAAAGTGCTCCCCTGCCCAAAGCCAGCCCCAGAACTCAAAGCCCTCCCAGCACTGCTGAGGCTGGGCCAGCAGGGACACAGAGGCCCCTCATTGGCGTGGGAGAGGGCAGAGAGCTGGCCAGCCTCTCAGCCAAGATCAAACACAGGCGGCAGGACAAAGGACCACAGGAATCTGCCCTTCCAAACCCGTCTGCAGCTCCAGAGGCTTGGGGCCCCTGGGAGTGCTTCTCTGAGACGGATGGAAAATGCCCCCGTGACCCTGTGGCTGACCTCTGGCCCAGGAGGCAGGGTAAGAAAAGCCCGCGTTGCTCAGAATGAGACCAGAGATGGCTGTCAGGGGCCAAGGAGCCAATGTTCCCTGGGTCTGCAAGGGGGGCTGCGGGTGAGCCTGCCCCTAACGTGGGGTGGGGGCAGCTGGGCCAGGCCTTGGACAGGGCTCCCTACAGATGACCTCAGATTCACTGTAGCCTGGCAGCCCTCGCTGGGGAAGAGCTTGAGGGCCAGGACACTCCGAGATAGATGGCTTTCCCACCAAGAAGGTTCAACTCCAGGCTTGGCTCTTGGGGGTCCTTGACGCTAGGAAAGTTGTGGGGGACAGTCCCCCCGGGTTGTCTGCTGCTGGGGGCTGTGAGCAAGGGCTCGGCATGAGGAGGTGGGCCCCATCCAAAACACAGCCCAGCCATTCCAGCACAGTGCGGCCCCGTGACTGGGAGGTGAGTCCAGTGGCTGCTGCAGGTCCATGAGGTCAGCTGTAGGGGATGGAGAGGCCAGCAAAGGCCAGGGCCAGTCTGGTGGCACAGAGCAGCGCTGGGCCCTCGTGGCAGGCCCACCCCCACTCTGACACATAAGACCAGAGACTGATGCACAGAAACCAAGGCACAGGGTCACAGCTGAATCACGTTTACTGTACAAAGAAATGACACAGCTCAGAGAACCAGGACTGGCAGGTGTGCCAGACAGCAGTGAGGGTAGTGTTGATACTGAGAGTGCAGGACCACCCGGGGCCTCAAGACAAAGTCTGTGTGATTTTGTTCATAATTCCAGACAAAGGGGCCCCGTGGGCAGCAACAGGCAGGTGGTGCTGAGAGGTGGCCCGGCCTCCAGGCAGGGTCCCTTGGAGCTGCCTAGCCCAGGCTCCCTTGTTCATTCAGCAACTCATGTGGGCCTTTGCCCTTCCAGAACAGCAGGCTGCATGGCTGTGTGTCCACTGGTGCCCGGGCCATGCCCTCCACAGGTCCACCTCTGATGGCATCACTGTGCAGTCTCCGTGGAGGGGAGGTCCCAGGCCCAGGGAGGGTTCCTGCTGCATGCTGGCCGCTGCTGGGCTGGAGCCAAGGGCAGGAGGTAGAGTTGAGCACCAGTGTGACTGAATTCGCAGGCTAGGTGGGGCAGGTGGGGGGGAGCAGTCACAGAGGACGGCACCTGTGGAGCCGCTGCCCAGGGCCCTGTGGAGGGACAGTCAATGGCTTCAAAAGGAGATAGGTGAATAGCCCTATTGTGCCTGGGCCTCCAGCACAAGGGCCGGAGGGTCCTCAGGAGGAACTCAGCGTCCACACTGTGCCCACAGCGTCCACACTGTGCCCACAGCATGGATGAGGCCCTGTTCCACGCAGCATCACCAAGACACAGGTCAGAGTGGTTCTGGTGGCCGTGTGGCCTCGCAGGGCAGAAGAGCAACAACAGGCGGGCAGCAGCTGAGGGGCACGTCCGAGGCCAGTGAACAGAAGCTGCCGAGGACAGGAGGCCGAAGCGAGTGCCCGGGGTCCAGAGCCACAGGAGGTGAGCAGGTGGTGGCCCCACCAAGTATTTATAGTTGACAAATGGCTTTGCATCTTCTAATTAGACGCTATGCAGTAAACCTCACTGAAGGTGTCAAACAGCAGGAAGGTCTGGGCAGGGCAGGGACCCCTGTAGTGACACCAGAGTGGCTTCCAGGCACACAGGAATGGCATCCAGAGCATGATGGCAGGAGCCACACCCCTGCCTGCTGCCAGGAGCTCCCAGAAGGTGTGTGCCTGCCCACGTGCCTCCTGCCCCCTCCAAGTGTTCGTGAGTTCAGAGGAGGATTCCAGTAGATCCTTTCCCATCATCGCCTCAAATCCCCCCCTCCTCAGATGTCCCAAGTGCATCCCCACAGCCATGTGGCAGTGAAGAGGTGAGCTCACCACATGGCTGCATCCAGGCTTCCCTGATGACCCTTTAAAAATGTACAAAATGGGTAAAACGTCCTCATGTCCTCAATATAAATAACAAAGGTGAGCCAGGCTCCCTCCCAGCGAGTCCAGGCAACCCTGGAGTCCAGGTTTGTTTCAGACCAAGATTCACGTAGCGTGCAGCAGCTCCTCCACTGCCCACAAGTGAGGCCTCCTGCACACTCCTGCCCTCCACGCAACACAGGCAGAGGGAAGCCCGATGCTTCTCAGGCAGGGCTTCATGGACAGTCTCCCCCGCATGTCCTGGGCGTCCCCAGCAAGCCCTCCCAGAGCATCTGGACGCGGTGGCACCCAGCCTGCCCCTGCTAGGAGATCTTGCAGTTGCTCCGCGAGCAGTTCTGAGGCGGGCTCTGGGGAGGACGGATGGACTTGGACCTCTTGAGGCTATTGCCCTTGCTGCCGCTGCCCCCAGCCCCACTGGCCAGGGAGTAGGAGCGACCGTGCATCATAACTGCGTTCATGCCATTGGCCATCGAGAAGGACTTGAGGTGGCTCTTGATGGTGACCGGCAGCGGGAGCTTGTCAATGAGGTGCACGGGTGTGCAGGAGACAATGGCGCGGCAGCAAAGATCCTGCAAGCTGAACACTGGGGGGGTGGGGAGACAGAGGGCTCAGACAGGCTGTGGGGGCAGACCATGGGGGTGGGGGGAGGGGCAGGGAGACACTGGGGGCAAGTGGCCCTCTGACTACCACATGACCATGACAACTGCCTGGAAATGTCTCACACTCCTGGTGGTTTCCCTGGGACAGGGGGACAGGGCTTCTCAGGGACCTAAAGCTGCAGTTGCCTGCTGACGGGGGCGTGCACCGGGCACTACCTCCACCTGCCTTCTCTCCTAGAGCTGGGCACAGCGCTTCCACAGACCAGCTCTTCCCAGCTCGGGGGTAGGAGTGAAGTTTCTGGCAACCCCAGGAACTTCCTGGGGTGCACAGGGTATGCTGACTAGCTCTTCAAGCCCAGTCACCTGGCAGCCTCTCCTACAGCTCTGGCTGGATTTCAACTCAATCTGGCCTGACCATAACTGGCAGCAATCCGCACAGCATGGGTGCAGTGATCCTCCTTGGTAGGGGGCTTTAGACGTCCCCCTCCCCTGTGGCTATATCTTAAGAAGGAGGATGACATGATGTGCTGTCCTCTGTGGGCAGTCCTGTTGGGAAGCAACAGAGTCCACAGTACTGTCTTGCTGAGAGTGAAGCCATTGTTGGGGGTTCCTGATTAGGCCTAGGCACCATGCACGGCACACAGAACATGCTAAGCTGCAGGCACAGGCCAGGAGAGCCCTAGCAGCAAGCCCATCCCCGAACAGTGGAAGCAGCACAGACACCATCCACCCCAACCATCTGGGCCCCAACAAGGCGCATGCAGAGCCTCCTCCCTTGGCTGAGTACTGTGAGGGTGAGAAGACACCTGCTGCCTGTTGCAGTGTGGGGGCCTGGGGCAGCGGGATGACTTCTGGGGCCACCCAGAGGCCTCTGCACTCACTTCCAGCACTGGGGCACTGCACCATCTCCAGGGACTCGCCTGACCCTCACACATGTGGTTTTACTGCCACCCGACCCCCACCAGTCTCCACATGATCAGGGCAGCCCTGGCGTGGAGAACAGGGATGGCAGGCCCCCTCCCCGCCTGCACCACACCTCGATTGGGCCTCCAGATCTTCTCCATGCCATGCCGCATGAGCACGATGCGCGACAGCTCAGTGAAGGACTCGACGACATTGAAGTTGCACAGAGGGCTGACCTCGAAGAAGGTCATGCCATTCTTCTCTGCATAGGCGCGGGCCTGCTCCGTAGGGACCTGCCGCTTGAAGGCTAGGTGCAGCCGGTTCCCAACCAGGATCCGGGGGACCCCAGGTGCATGCTTGGGGAGGGGGGTACAGAACTCAGCAGAGGCACGAACACAGGACACCACCCACCACCACCCACAGCAGGCAGGCTCTCAACTGTCTGGAACCTTTGATGGGGTGGGGGCCGGGCTGAAAGGCAGAGCCCGACTCAGAACCCATGAAGCATGGGCCACCCTGCCCCCCAATCCCGGCTGTTGAGTGGCCACAGTGGTCAGTACGCCGAGGCACAGGCTGTGGGCACAGTGTGAGAGAGGACACAGAGCCAGGTCACAGGAGGGGCAGCAAGGCACCCAAGGCCTCGCCCCTGGGAGGGGGTGTCACAGACCCACACCTACCTCGTCGATCTCCTTGATCCACCGGTCAATGCCGTCAAAGGACCAGCGGTTAGTAATGTCGTACACCAGGAGGATGCCCTACAATGGAGATGCAGGAGTCATCTATGAATGCCAGCCCAGGCCAAGGGGGGACCTGTGTGTGGAAGGAGTCTCTGGCACTTTGGCACCTTCAGGTTTCACAGGTGGCTCAACACAATGGCAAATGGGCAGTGCACTTCACAGAGTTCGGCATAGCCCTGTTTGCCTTGGCAGGAGCCTTCCCTGTGGACGGCAACTGCCACTGGGATTCATAAATGCTGCTGTCCCCTTCCTCCCCTGGAGGACTCAGTGGGAAAGAGCTCACATTTTTTCAACTTCTTTTCTCCAAGCACAGCATAAGAATTATACTGTAATCACTCAAAAATCAAGGGGCTGAGCCACACGTGCCCAGGTCTGTGATGCAGGTGCCATGGGGCCTTGCAGAAGCTTCCTGGGCAGGCAGAGGAGGGTACCGGGCCTGCAGGAGCCAAGAGTTCTGCAGTGAGTTCCTTGTGAACTCCACCCTGGGGGCACCCGGGGCAGAGCTGAGTGGAGGCATTTCTGGGTTTTCCAGCCCAAACCTGCAGAGCAGGATGTCAGTCACTCCAGCAGTAGTTTTGTGAAGGCTCCCCCAGCTGGGCAGAGCAGGGTTTGCTACAGGGTCTTTCCTGCCACATCCCTCAGAGACCAATTAGTCAGAGCTCAGCTCTGGGCTGTTTCCTTCTGCCCTAAATATCCCAACAGGGGCCCTGTCATGGGCCCTCCAGCAAGTGGCACAGGGAACATACCGCTCACCACACAGCCGCAGAAGGGGTAGACGTGATGTTGCCCACTGCCCCACAGCATACAATTCTACTCTGAAGGCAGCTCAGAAATCAGATCCCACGCAAGGGGCCAGGACGCACACCACTCCCCATTCCACAAAATTGTCACTTGCAGAGGCATTGCTAAGTGGGCAAAGGGAGAGTGCGCTAAGACTGAAGGAGGGGTCTCAGAGCCTACCTCACTAGCCACTATCCACCTCAGAATCAGGGGTCTTAAAGCTTTCTTTCCTCTTAAATGTCCTGTGGTTTCTGGAAGATACGTGCAGCCCCCAGGCCCTGTCAAGACAAAGGTCCAGATTACGTGAGACCCTCATCCCTGGGGTGCCTGCTCTTTGGACAGGGCAGCAGCTGGGAGGAGCTTCTGCAGCCTGGAGGGAAGCCCTCCAAGGCCAAGGCAGGCAGCACCGAGAAGGCACAGACCAGCTGAGCCTAACGGCCAGAGCACGCTGGGTGGATGAAACACAGCGAGAAAGACCAAGTGCGGACTGCCAGCGTTCGTCCTCCCACTGGGCACAGGGTGACACCTTCTCCTCTGCTGCTGGGGGGTGACTACGGGGACAGTGCCACCTTTTGGCGTCACAACACAGCGTGCCCTCCAATGGGGTAATCCAACTTCTAAGAAATAATGGAGGATGTGTGGAAAGACTGACCCCACAGGAGGCTCATCACTGCATTGTTTATAAAAAACTACAAACAAAGTAAATGTCCAGTCCTGGGAGGTACATCATACCACGGAGATAGTAGATAATAAACATAACAGAAGAATACTTTAGAAGTATAATTTATGATCACAAGAAGATGCACGGTAGACTGTGAGATGAGAGCTACAGGTCCTAACCACTATGTACGGTCTGATTTTTTAAAAAATAAAAAGATAATGGCCGGCCCGTGGCTCATGGGAGGCTGTGGTGCTGATAACACCAAGGCCACGGGTTCAGATCCCATATAGGGATGGCCGGTTGGCTCACTTCGGAGAGTGTGGTACTAACAACACCAAGTCAAGGGTTAAGATCCCCTTACCTGTCATCTTTAAAAAAAATAAATAAAATAAACATACAACACGTTACATAGAAAAAATTTATGTAGACATGCATTAAAAAAATATTAAAAGGCTAGATAAATAGTGGGTAATTCTTATTTTTTTGTGTACATGGACCTATATTTTCTGTAGCAAATGCCACTATTCATGAAATGTTTAATAACTAAAGCAAGTGAGCAGAGCCATCTCCTGGGCTAGGCTGGCTCAGGCTCCACCCAGCCACAACTCACAGCTCTGCCCATCGATGCCTTTTTTTTTTTTAAAGATAACCGGTAAGGGGATCTTAACCCTTGACTTGGTGTCGTCAGCACCACGCTCTCCGAAGTGAGCAAACCGGCCATCCCTATATGGGATCCGAACCCGTGGCCTTGGTGTTATCAGCACCGCACTCTACCGAGTGAGCCACGGGCCGGCCCCAATCGATGCCCTTTTTGGGACCACCCAAGTCTGTTGAGTTGTGAGTGGAGGAGACAGGGCGGAAGGACACAGAGACAAACCCAGCACTTGGTCAGACTGCAGACAGCAGGGACCACAATGACCATGGATTTGCCAGGGAAAACTATGTGGGGTTAACCATGAACAGGACAGCTGACCTTTGAAAATAGGGAGCTACTGCTACACTGTCCTGGGGTCAGGGGGCTGTGGCGCACTGGCACCCTAATCAGCTCTTGTTCAATTGTGTGTGTCCCATACCATTTTCCATATAAAACCCCTTCTTGTGTAAACAAAGCAGCCCTCTACCTCGAGGGAGACGCAGCACCGGACCACCCCTCCCTGGTGCTAGTCTACCTGGCCCCAAACCCTCAGCTAAACAGGTAGCACCTCTTGTGGGCACAGCCACCCACTGCAGATCTGGCCACACCTGCCCCCACCCTCCACACACCAAGCCCTGGGGACCTGCACCAGGATGACCTGTGCACTCCCCGACAAGTGGTCAACTCAGCCTCAGCAACAGAAAACGTGACACAGCCCACGGGGTCTAGGAAGTCCAACCTTTGGCTCCTTAATAGAATGTAAAGGGACCCACAAGACAGGACAATAAGTGTGACAGGACAACAGCCAGGGTGGCCAGGGGCCGTTGTTGGTACTGTCTGCAAGACCCAGGCCCTGAGGGACCTGCATGGCCTCTCCGATCTTAAGGGAGGGTGGGAGAGGGACAAAACTTGACTAGGAAAGATGGTCCTGCTGCTTTGTGTATAATCAGGGCCCACTTGGAGAAACGCTGTGGCAAAGCTGGGGTCTGCGCTGACTCTGGGAACCACCTGCTGCTCACCAGGCTAGATGACGCAGGACAGGGCCAGCCCCCAGAGCCAAGCAGATGGTAGTCAGCATGGCCAGAGGCCCTGCTTTGTGGCTCGATGCTTCTCCCAGGGGCAAGCCTGCCAGGATGCGCTGGGCACCCCCTACCCACGCCCAAGATGTGCACTCAGGGTCTGCAACTAGCTCCTCTCAGCCAAGGAGTCATAACTAAGAACTTCCGGAATTAAAGCAAAACAAAAAAAACCTAGTGATTGTGCTAGCTGCTTTGTAGAGAATACAGAAATGCTAACAGAGAGTTTGATTTCCAAAAAACTTAGTCTGGCAAATGTGGAGCCTGTGTGGTGATGTTCCTGCAGCTGAACAGAAATTACCCCCTGTGACCTGTTCCCCATTATTTCAGCACAGCCTCCTGGTTTACTTCAGATGCGGGCACCCCTTCTGGGCGCTCTTCCACGGGAAGTCCCTGGGATGAGCCCCCATGTCTTGCTCATTGCTGATGCCCTGCCCCTCCCCAGAGGACCTGCTGCAGCCCCTGGCACAGAGCCCATCTTCAACACCTCCAGTCTGCACAGAAGGGTCCTCACTCATGATCCCGTATCCCCACCAGCCTTGTAACGCAGCCTGTGAGAGTCCTGGGCAGACATGAGAAAGCCACCCTAAGATTCTAGTGAATCAGGGGAGGAGACACGTTTCAACAGCACGGGGAAGCCACTGTAGCGCCTGTGCGGGGCTCAGAGTCCCTCCCACGGCACCGCTCGGGGGTTGCTAGAACGGCAACAGCAGACATGCTGGGGCCGGGGAGTGGGACTCCCAAGCTTGGAAGGGCCACAGGAAGACACGTCCTCCCCAAACAAGGACAGGCTGTTAGGGGAAACGTGACATTCCAATGTCAGAATATCCTTAGAAAAGAATAAAGTTCCTAGGGAGTTTGACAGAGTAGCAACTCACGTTCAGAAAGAATCAGGAGAATCATCCATTTGAAAAACAGCAGCAAAGAGTGTTGCTGGGCTTACCTGGGCACCCCTGGAGTAGGACCGGAAGATGGTACAGAACCTGCCCTGGCCCGATGTGTCCCTGAAACACGTGGGGAGGGGGTTAGGAGGGGCTTCGGCCCGTAGGGCCCTCCAGCATGCACCGTGACCCACGGGAGAGGCTCGCTGCCTGCCCTCTCCTGTTCCACAGCTCCCCCCAGACGTCCAGTGAGGCAAGAACAGGTCCCAGATGGGCACAAATCATTCAGGCCAGCGCTGCTGACACAGGGCTGGGCAGGCAGAGGTGCTGGTTCTGTCCATCTGGTGGAGCCAGCGAGTCCCCCATATAGGCCTGGGAGCCCCAGGAGACCACCCTGCTGGGCTGGAACACTCCAAACCTGTGGGAATTTGTTTTGACTTTCAAGTTCTGGGAAATGCTCCTTAATGGGGAGCACAGTAGAAGGTGAGGTAGAGGGGCCACTGCCACTGTGGGAACAGACCTTTATGGAAAAAAGGGGAGCTGAGCTCTACAGAGCAAAATTGATTCTGTGTCTACAAACACATCTGTTTTAAATGGCTATTCCTCAGATCCCCGTACCAGCCAGGCCCCAAAACAACAGAAAATAAACAAGTGGTCAGTGCACGTGCAATGTCAGTAGGACCCTTCCTGCCTCTTTAGGACCTTCCAATGACTCTGGAGTGCTGTGGCCCCACTCACCAGAGCTCCAGCTTGACCCGCCGTCCATCCAGCAGGATGGTGGTCGTCTTGTAGTCAATCCCTGCAAGGAAGCAGAGTGGCTTAGCGGCTCAGGGCGACTATGGGAGAGACAGAGCCCGCTGAGTCTACGCAGCCACGTGGAGAAACAGCTTCTCCCACTCACCCGCCGTGAGCCACTGGGCAGGGGCCCTCTCTGCCCTGGCTGTCACATTCTTGTGGCTCCAGCCCAGCAAACCACGCTTTCCCACTTCCACAGGGTGGGCCATGGGGCATGGCACAGGGTCAGGGCCTTGGGCCACACCTCCCTCTCCACAGACAGCTCCTGCCCAGAACAGGGCCTCCACCAGTGCTGGTTCTGGGTGCAAAGTGCTGGCTTCTTGCTAGAAGCACTCCAGCCAAGGGAGGCCGTGCAGGAGCCGGGTCTGGTATACCCAAAGGATGGCCACTGGTCTACACTCTGACCTACTTCATGTTTCTCTTGAAGTTGGACTCTCAAAGGCTAATGCATTCCTGAGTTCTTGGGTAGCCCCCAGGTACTGACAATTGGAGCATGCCTGGAAAATTATTACGGGTAAAGTCATTTCTAAAATGCTGTTTCTCTGGAGAGCTCTCCAGAGAGTCTATGCTTGCCTTACCTTTTAGTTTTTAATTTTTTCACACTTTTATGGGAAAAGATCAGTCCAAGACAAAATTGGTAAGAGCAGACAGTGTTGGACACTTACCTTACATGCAACATTTTAAACTGGTTTACAGGACACCTTTAGACCGGTCCCCACCTGCTCAGCCTTAAAAGTACAATCAGTTTCTTGCCTTTTTGTAACACTCACTCCAAAGGGGCTGGAAATGGGCATTCTTTAAAACACAGATGTTGCTTTCACACAGAGAGCGCATGTCAATGTGTGTGTATGTCTATGTCTCTTTGTCTGTGTACATGTGCATGTCTCTGTGTGTCTGTGCCTGAGTCTGTGTGTCTCTGTGTGTCCATGTGTGTGTGTCTGTGACTCTGTGTATGTGTCTGTGTGTGTCTCTCTGTCTCTGTGTGTTTGTGTCTCTCTGTCTCTGTGTGTCCATGTGTGTGTGTCTGTGCCTCTGTGTGTCTGTCCCTGTGTGTGATCCATCACTGCGAGCCAACCATGAGGCCTCTTTGCAGGCAGCGCCCTCCTTCAGGCATCAGTGCTTCTGCCAGGGCGATCCTTCTGCCTGGCCTACTTCTAAATGCACATCAAAACCTGGTTCTCATGCATCAAAGGACACTATCAGCAGAGTGAAAAATGCAACCCACAGAATGGAAAATTTTTTTTTTGCAAATCACGTATCTCATTAGAAACTGATATCCAGAATTTATAAAGAACTCCAACTCAACAACAAAAAAACCCACAACCTGATGAAAAAATGGGCAAAGGTCTTGAACAGACTTCCCCAAAGAAGACATACAAATGGCCATGAGCACATGAGAAGATGCGCGAGGTCATCAGCCATCAGGAAATGCAGACACAACCAGGAGATAGATGCCACTGCAGCCTGCGAGGTTGGCCGGACTCAGGAGACAGAAGACAGGAAGTGCTATCTGGGGCCCTTCCCCGCAGGGGGCCATGTAATGGCCCACAGCAGCATGAATGCTCCTGAGGCTACTGAGACGCACGAGCACACAGCTAAAGTGTTCAACTTTACGCTGAGTGCCTATGCAAGAAAGTGAGGGAAGGCTGTCCCGCACATGTTTTCAAGCAAAACAAAATGCTCTTCAGAAAGAAGCCACACTCAGGCCTGTCCACCTGCATCCCGCACCCCCTGCTCCCCAGCTCTCCTCTCCTGCTTCTTTGGGTGGAAGCTCCTGGAATTCTGTCAACAGGAAGCACAAATGGAGAAACATAGGCCCAGGACTCGCCTCCTATCAGTCCTGGCAGCTGCAGCTCTCATGAGAGGAACCGTGAGGACAGGGCTGGAAGGAGGTTTCCACAAAGGCTGTGGATGCCCATCCTTGAGACCGTTACTTCTGTATGCAGACATAGCCAAGCAGGTGCCCACAGTGACAGGGACACGCTCCAGGGTTTCTCCCCCAGCCCTCCAAGAATGGAGCTGCCCTGATGCCGAACCACCCCTAGATGGCACTGTGGTCCCAAGCCTGGCAGAAGTTGTGGCAGGAGAGGAGGGGGCCCACAAAAAGCCTAGAAAGAGACTGGATTTGTCCACAACAGAGCTATGCTGCACCCTGTCACCATCATCAGAAGCCCCCTACCATGGACCCAGCTGACCAGTGTGATCAAGGCTCCCTGCGCTTCTGCGTGGTGGGGACGCCTGTCCTCAGGACCCTACTCATTTACCTCCAGGAAGGCTAACGGTTCTGCTCCTGCAGCGGAAAGAGAAGCCACAGCCCTGCTCAGTGCCCTGAATTCTTCCCGAGGGACCACAGGGCACAGGTACTTCAGAAACTGCTAAGGAGGGAGGGTCCTGCGTGAGCCCCCTCCTGCACACACACCATCTGACAGTGCTCTTCAGGACAGGGTTCTCAGAGAACGTGTGTGAGCAGAAATGTAAGATTATTACTAAACAAGGTCACCATCAAGAATGACTCAGACTCCTCAACAGCTGCCAGGCTCCCTGAGCAGTGTCTTGCCCCCAGGAACTCACAGCTGCCAGCAGGTCTGGCCTCTCAGGGCAGGTATGGGAGCCTCTGTCCACCGACCTGGCCTCTGCACTGGGCCCAGAAGCCACAGCACTGGGGTGAGTGGGCAGCAAGTCCCTAGAGTGGACACCCAGGGTCAAGCTAAGGGTGGGTAGGGGGAGCTAGCCACAAAGAAAACCCTGAGGGGCTCAGACGAGAGTGGAGAGTTCCTAGGCTGACATTCTTGCTTGGAAAATTTGGTCGCAGATATAAAAAAAAAAAATCAAACAGATTCTTCATGCTTACTTTGTCTTCTGACCCCCCAACTCCCAAAATTTTTTTTTTCCTTTTTGTCTTTTTTCGTGACCGGTAACGAGATCGCAACCCTCGGTGTCGCGCCCGTACCGCAACCGGCAACGGGATCGCAACCCACGGTGTCGCGCCTGCACCACGCTCAACCAGTGAGTGGACCGGTCTCTATATGGGATCCGAACCCTCGGCGGGAGCGCAGGAGCGCCACACTCTACCGAGTGCACCACCGGGCCGGCCCCCACCTCCCAAATTTTTATAAAAATTTCTGGTATGCTTTATAAATTAATGGGAAATACAGATGCAGCAATTCCAAAGACAGGCCTGCCTTAGAAGGGCAGATCTCTGGGCCGGCCCGTGGCTCACTCGGTAGAGTGCGGTGCTGATAACACCAAGGCCGCGGGTTCGGATCCTGTATAGGGATGGCCGGTTTGCTCAATGGCTGAGCGTGGTGCTGACAACACCAAGCCAAGGGTTGAGATCCCCTTACCGGTCATCTTTAAAAAAAAAAAAAGAAGGGCAGATCTTTGCTGAACTTTACTGAGTCAGCTCTAACCATTCAACCACCCCTCACCTCACCCCACCCCACCAGTCCTTACATACTGAGCTGCTTTAAAAAAAAAAAATGATGATCAGGAATTTTATTCAAAATATCTAACAACTCATACAGCATGGTACAACCGTTCAGAACAGAAATCAGCTATCAGGAGCAGGTCAGCTGCACAGTGTCCACAGTGACAACCAGGCCTGATCAGCAGCCACCTGACCGGAGGCTGGTCCTCACCCTGTGCCTCTCGAGGGTGGGCCCCTCACCAGCAACTGCACAAGGAAGTGGCTCACACATTGGGATGGGTGTCACAGGATGACCATATCTCAGGCTGGCACTCCCTGGTGGGCTCAGGGCGGAAACAGAGGCCGGTGGCAGGTGACTGCTGATCAGCCCTCCCTAGCCCTTCCCTTCTGTGCAAAGCCCAGAGGGCGCAGGCTGGCTCTCCTCTTTCTGCAAAGCCTCCTTTCCTTGACCTTGAAAAATCCAGAGCCAGTCACGCCTAGTGCTGTTCCAGCCTGGCCACATGACAGCCAGAGCTTGTGAAAGCAATCAGTCCCATCAGGACCTGGGCCTTCCTTCCTGGCAAGTTTTCTCTGGAAACCTCAGAAAGCTGAAACTCGACCAAATCATACTTGTAGCATCTCAGTTCTCGGTTCAGTGAGGGTAAAAGCAGTATCCTGCATCCACTCCTCACAAACTGAGCCCTGAGGTGGCTCTGGCACCAAGCGGCCACTGAGAGGAGTATCCACATTAAAGGGTCCCTGTGCCAGGACCCCAGGGAGAGAGCCCTTGGCCTGGAAGGTTTGGAAGAGGAACAGTTATCCAAGCCAGGCCTGAGGGTGAGCAGGCATTTGAAAGGGCGGGGAACAGGGTAGAAGGCGGCAGGAGACAGAGCAGTGGATGGACCAAGGCCTCAAGCCCGGGGGGACAGCAGGGTGCGGATGGTGGGCACAGGCAGGCGGGGCTGACAGGCCTGGAAAAAGTCCAGGAAGGGGGTTATCGGGTGTCAAAAGGGACATTTTATTTTTTTCTTCTGTCTAAAAAGGTTTGTTTTTTTTTTTAAAGATGACAGGTAAGAGGATCTTAACCCTTGACTTGGTGTTGTCAGCACCACGCTCACCCAGTGAGCTAACCAGCCATCCCTATATGGGATCCGAACCGGGGCCTTGGTGTTATCTCCCGAGTGAGCCATGGGCTGGCCCTAAAAAGTTTTTCTAAATAAACTAATACACCATGCTTGAAAAAAGCAAGGGCCCAGTGAGGGCCAGCTGTGCCTGCAAGGCCACCACCACATCTGCTCCAAGGCCCCACCAACTTAGTCCCCGTCCCCATCTAGTAATCAGCTCACCCATCTAGTCCCAACAAGGTGCTGGCTCTGCGAGGCACACACCAACATCACCATCATCCTTGCCGATGGGGACCACGGCAGGGAGGTTGAACACGCGTCCCGTCGGCACCTGAGCTTCTGGTGTGTCCTCCGCATGGAATCCCAGAAAGCACTTCCTAAGCCAGGCTGCTGCAAGGAGGTGACTGTGTGGCCTGCCCCAGTGCCATTCATATGCCCAATGCTCCTGCAGAGCTGCTGCTTCTCTAGAAGTTTTCAGGGCACTTTCTTTGCCTGTAGTGTTCCAGGTGTGTCTTTGCCCCCTTGGTCCATCCTGCCCCTCGTCAGCAGAGACCTCTGAGACAACTGCCCAGTACTCCCATCTCTCCCCATCTTTGTCCTTCTGTTCTACCTTCTGGAAGATGTAGTCAACTTCGCTTTCTAGCCTTTCTATGATTTTTTAAAACTCCGCTCATTTATG